AGATGTTTACATGCACGTTGTGTGAGTTAGAATTTTCTCCTTTCTCCTGTTGCAAACATTAGAAGCTCACAGTGGCTAATTTAAGCAACACAGGGATTTAATGGAAGGAAATGGAGTGGGAGAGGAAATAGGTCTAGGAAGCTTTGGGATCTAGAAAGCAGGAACTAATTCCTAGTGGGCATGATTTCTTCTGTGCTGCCAGTGAAATGAATCAGATCAAGCCATTTTTCCCCCCTTGTTGCAAGAAAGATTTCCCAAGAGGAATTCTGTTTGGCCTACATTAGACCCTTTGCCACCCCCACACCCCACCCATGGCTAAAAGAAGTGAAGCTTAGTGACTGGCAGTACCACCAAGATAAAACACTGTTCAGAGAGGATCAAGGCCCTAAAGCTTAATTAGGGTCTTGATGTTACTGAGGGAGGAGGAAATGACGCTGGGCAGGCTAAAACTACCAATGTCCACTAAGCACATTTCCACACAGACATCTGCATATATGTGAGTGGGGGAGCCATGGACCCTTGGCCCAGACCCCAACTCTAAAAACTGGGGTCTAAAAACCCCTGTCTAGGCTACACCCTATGATCAATATTCAAATATTTAATTCTCTAACATACTCCATTTCCTGAGAGTATGTGTGTTGTTAGAGGACCTAACATTCAAGAAAAATAGGGTACCTGACAGAAAAAAATAAGAATGAAGATACCAAGAAGTGACAAGAGGCAAATAAAGAAGGTGGGAAGAGTAAAACCAAGTTTTTCCCAGGCCTGATCCTAGATTAAGTAATCTCCATGTAAAGATGTCTCTACTCTGTACCAGTCACAGGTTCTTAAACCACAGATCTGTTGGACATGCACTGGGTCCAGTGGTATTACAGTATCTAAAGTTCCAGTGGGGATGATCACGAGAGACGTGCTGTATGCAGAGTGATACCCTGGAGTGAGTGGTGCTCAGCTGAGCCTCTGGGCTTGACTTCTGATCTGGCTGGTGTGGGTACAGCACCAGAGAAACCTATGGTGGGAGAGGGGAGTCTTGCCTCCATCTCAGCAGGCAAGTGGCACAGACCTAGCCTTGAAGTGGCCTGGGATACATACCCTAAGGACAATGGACACCCTGTGCATCTCTAAAACTGCTTGTTCTGTGCATGGCTGTGGGCTATAGGGTGAAATGAGCTTCTCTTAGATGTCTTCACTGTTTCAGACCTTTATAACTCAATTTTTGAATAGGTGGTACAGATGCCCTGTGAGGCCCACTATGATTGTTGCCTCTGCTCGCTTCTTCAGATGCATCTCAAGCTCCTCTCACTCTCACATACTTATCTTCAGCTACATGGGCCTCCTTCTAAACTTCTCATCTTCCGTGAGACCTCAAGGCTCCATCGCGTGTGGTATCCATGCCTTTGTACCCTCCCTAACTCTGGCTAACTCCAAGTTATTGCTCAGTCCCAGCTTCAGTTTAATCCCTCACAGGAATTGTCACTGATCCAAATTAGATCAGGCCCCCACCTGTTGGCCTGTACTTATTTTTCATGGCAGTTACCATACTGGTAAAGTATTTGTGTGCTATTCTGTTATACTCCTACCTCCCTAACCTGATAAATTCTGGAAGGGTACAGGCCATACCTGTCTTCTTCACTGATGTGCCAGGATCATGGTAGGTGATCACTGAATATTTGTCAAATGAATATTGTGCAGTATTACACTGAATGGGAGGAGCTATCAAAGACAAATAGTAGAAAGGGAATTAGTTAAGATAGTAAATCTAGAGAATGATATACATGCTAATAAGTGTGGCGGTGGAAACAGATATAAAACATGGGATGCTAGAGGAATTGTGGAATATCTTCCATTCTTTCAACCTCAGGAATGAAGGGAGCTGAAAAAGCATATGGAATGTAGCCAAAGAGAATTAAGTTATTAGTTCAAGCTAAAAGCTCATATATGACATTTGGTTGCCCTGGCAACAGAACTACCATCTTATGATAATGATATTATAATATGATAAAGCAAATACAAATAATTTAACACTATATCAGAAATGGAGAAACAAATGATCTAGTTAGCTTCACCATTGGGAATAATCTCAGGGGAAATCTTGGAGGGGGCTCCATGTTGCAAAGGATGCTGTCCTAGAACTTGAGTTATCTACAAAGGGTTAAACCAAGGCATGGAATTTGACACCAATTTTAAAATCTATACGGGGAAGCACATAAGGCTATGATCAACTGAGATGGTTTTAAATAACAGAACAAGATATGAGACTTGCCCTGGATGTCAGTTATCTTTTAGCACAATTATGTTGTGGAACCTACAACTACAAAACCTCAGTGGCATGACACAATAAGCATTCATTTTTGGCTCACAAGTTCATGGATTGGTGAACAGTTCTGGTGATCTAAGCCAAGCGTGGCTATTTTGGCTAGGCTCACTCATAAGGGCAGCTAGTGAGTTGGCTGAGCACTAGCTGGTCTAAGTTGGTCTCAGCTTGGATTGACTCTACCCTGTACCACGTGCTGTCTCATCCTTCAGCACACCATGCCTGAGCTTCTTCTCAGAGTGAAGGCAAAATTCCAAAAGAGGAATGGAAGCACACAAGGTCTTTAGAGGCCCAAGTTTGGCACACTGTCTCTTCCACCGCATTTTATAGGCCAAAGCAAGAGGCAAGTCTAGTCCTGATTCAAAGGGTGGAGAAATAGAATCAACTTCTTGATGCAATGACCTGCAAAGTTATATTGCTAAGCATACGAACACAAAGAGGCTGTTGATTATGCCCATCAAAGCAATTCACCTACCATACCAGAAATCAACTTATTATAAAGCTACAGTAACTAATTCAGTATGATATTGGTGTAGAAGTGGATAAACAGAATAATTATATGGTATTATGATCCAAAAGAAACTCATATGATAATAAAATGTCATGACAGAGGCGGCATTGAAGATTATCCTGTATGGGGAAAGTGATAGACTTTTCAGCAAATGGTACTCTGACAATAGGCTATTCAATAGGGGGGAAAATGGATCTTTCCCTCACATCATACTCAAAAATCAGTTCCCAGTTTATTAAAGATCTAGATGTAAAAAGCAAACTTTATCACTTTTAGAAGAAAATATAGGAAAATTTCTCTGTTGCCTGAGTGTTGGGAAGGATTTCTTAAACAAGACACAAAAGGTACAAACCATAATAAAAATGTAGATCAATTTGATTACATTTTAATTTATAACTTCACAATGAGATATCACTTTACACCTGTCAGAAGGGCTAAAATCAAGAACACAAGAAGTAACAAGTGTTGGAGAGGATGTGGAGAAAAAGGAACCCTCATGCACTGTTGGTGGGAATGCAAACTGGTGCAACCACTGTGGAAAACAATATGGAGGTTCCTCAAAAAATTAAAAATAGAATTACCATATGATCCAGTAATTCCATTACTGAGTATTTACCTAAAGAGAATGAAAACACTAATTTGGAAAGATATATGTATCCTTATGTTTATTGCAGTATTATTTATAATAGTTAAGATATGGAAGCAACACAAGTGTCCACCCATAGATGGATGGATAAAGACAATGTGGTATATATATGCAATGGAATATTGCTCGGCCATAAAACATAATGAAATCTTGGTATTTGCCACAACGTGGATGGACCTAGAGGGCATAATGCTAAGTGAAAGAAATCAGTCAGAAGGAGACAAATACCATATGACTTCACTCATATGTGGAATTTAAGAAACAAAACAAATGAACAAATCAAAAAGAGACCAAAAAAACCCAGACTCTTAAATACAGAAAACAAATTGGTGGTTGCCAGAGTGGAGGTGGGTGTGAGGATGGGTGAAATAGAAAAAGGGAATCAAGAGTACACTTAAATTGACGGACACTGAGAAATGTATCGAATTGCTGAATCATTAAACTGTCCACCTGAAACTAATATAACACTGTATGTTAATTATACTTCAGTTTAAAAATAAATAAGGTTTAAAAATATAGATAAATTTGATTACATTATGATTTATAACTTCTCCGCAAAGAAACCTCCAAAAATGAAAAGAAAATCCCCCAGTCTTCAGGGAGATATTTATAAAGCAAATAATGGAGAAAAGATTAGTGTTATAGTATCAGGAACTAATAAAGAACTTTCCAAAATCAATGAGAAAAAGATAAGTCAATAGAAAAAAACAAATGAAAATTAATAAGCAAAGAAAAGGGCAATTCACCGAAGAAGAGACCTGAATGGCCAATAAGCATATAATGAAGCTATTGATCTCATTAGTAAATGGGCAAAGACAAATTAAAAACATAATGAAACATCATTTCACAACCATTAATTTAGTGAGAATGGTGTAGGCTGATATCAAGAGTTAATGTAGAGCCACTGGAACTCTCATACACAGTGGGTAGGAACTGAACTCAGCATAACCCTGTGGAGAGCAATTTGGCAATATCTAGCAAAACTGAGTATGCACATTCCCTGTGACCCAACAATATATATCCTAGGAATTTTCTCATGTTTTTCCCAATTTATGGATGAAAATATTCATTGTAGGATTATTTGTAATGGCAAATGGGAAACATCCTAAATGTCTATAAATAAGACTATGTATAACTATATATTGGCTTATTCATCCAATAGAATACAATACTTCAGTAAAAACAAATGAACTAGAGGAAATATGGAAAAAGCTCACACACATAATGTTGAACAAAAAAGCAAGCCACTGGAAGACATATACAATATGATAACAGTTACATAAAATTTAAAGACATGCTGAGCCACACCATATTGTTTAGGAATACATACATACATAGTAAAAGCCTAAAGATAGGCATAGGAATGACACGTAAGAAATTCAAGATAGTACTGGTAGTTAGTTACCTCTGGGGAGCAGGTGAGGTTATAAAGAAGAGAATGTCATTGGGAAAGATACAAGGAAGTTTCAACTGTATTTGTAATGTTATATCTCTTTTTTTCTTTAGATTTTATTTTTAAGTAACCTCTACACCCAACGTGAGGCTCGAACTCACGATCCCGAGATCAAGAGTCACATGCTCTACCCACTGAGCCATTCAGGTGCCCCCATAATGTTATATTTCTTAAGCTGGGTGATGTTAACATGAGTGTTTTTTTATATTATTCTCCACATGCTACTAGTGTGTCTCATATTTAATTTAAAAAATCAGTAGATATTTAAGAGTCTTGCCAGGAGAAAGGAAAAGAGATGATGGGGCTGGAGGAAGAACTCACCTAATGTCAGGACTCTAACTTCTATGTACCCTCATCTTTGGGTCTCCTTGCGCCAGCTTCTCTCTCTGGCCCACAGAATTGTTCTGTGACATTAGAGAAATACGGTAGTAAAAAGATTCCATGCTTAAGGAAGTTTAAAAGCGCTGGGTTAAACAAAGTTAAATAGAGTTCTTTTCTGTAAAACTTGCCAGAGTATTTAAAATGCTAGTGGGTGCCATGAATCTCTGAGTGGGACATAGAGTAACTCTGGCACCATTTCTTCATGCAGGACATCAGGGCGACAGTTTCTGTGAAAGATATTTTGGGAAATGTGCCCCCAAAATTTCCTTTCCCAGTCATCTGCCTCCATCTCCCTGTCTCGGTCTGCCCCCAAATTCCACTTCCTTTTCAATACCTGTGTCTTTTTCATTTCATTTCCACTTCTCCACAGAGCTCTCCCATGTCTTTGTCTGCCTTTCATGGAGGCAACATGGCATCGTGAAAAAACACTCAGTTTGAAATCCTAGCCCCCATGCTTCTTAGTGGAGGGGGAGGGGGACCCTGGTTTCTGTGCCTCAGTGTCTGTCCACAAGAGGAAGAGGGTAATCAAATCCCTCACCTCATGGGGCGACTTGTTTGTACAGAGTTCGTACATATGAAGTATGGACTTGATCCTTCTTTGAACTTACTAAGTGTTGACTATTACTTATATGACAGGGAGGAAATAATAGTTTACCTGTCTTAAGAGACTACTTTTGGAGACAATATTAGTTTCCTAGGACTGCCATAACGGAGTACCACAACCTGAATGGCTTAAACCACAGAAACTTACCATCTCATTGTTCTGGAGGCTAAAAGTCCTAGATGAAGCTGTGGGCAGGGTTCCTTCCTTCCTTCTGAGGGCTGGGCAGGAGCAATCTCTTCCAAGCCTCCCTCCTAGCTTCTGCGGGTTTGCTGGCAGTCTTTGGTGTTCCTTGGCTTCCACTGCGCCACCCTGCTCTCTGCCTTCATCTTCACAAAGTGTTCTCCATGAGCACAGGTCTGTCTCCAAATTTCTCCTTTTTATAAGGACACCACGCATATTGCATGACAGGTGCACCCTACTCCAGCATGATTTCATCTTCACTAATTACATTTGCAATGACCCCTTTTCAAATGTGGTCACCTTCTGAGATCCTGGGGGTTAGGATTCAATATAAGAATTTTCAGGGGACACAATTCAAGAGACCAATTAAAATAACATCTATGAAGGTATTGTTACATTCTTGTAAGGGGTTACAAACTGTAAGATTCTGTGTTTGTCACAAATGATCACATCTTAAAACACCTACTAAGTTATGTTGTTGCAGCACACAGCCAGAACTTGGCTTGGCATCAGCTTAGACAGTTTTGGGGAGTGATGTGAACAAGAGCTTGTCCAGGGACTCTTTAAAGCAAGTGCTCTGTTGGGTTCTAAATCTATCCTCAGTAATTGATTGCTTTACCTCAGTGAACAGAGAAAAATCCATTCTGCAAAGTTACTACATACATGGGGTTTGTATATAAAAGGAGATACAGCAGTATGTGGAGAGATTAAATAATTGCTTGGAGGCAGGGATTCGAAGAAATTTCCCAAATTAGCCGGGCTGTTCCATCATTAAACTGAACAGAGGATCCAGCTTTTTTTTTTATATGCAGGCTTGCGCTATGCCCGCTGACCCCAAATGCATGTACTTTCTCACTGGGTGACTTCTACAACATCATTTGCCCTAAATAGGAATTCGGAATGACATGAGGCCACCCTGAACCTAGTGAGACTGTTTCTGCCAAAATGACTTGTTGTTAAGGTGAAGCAACATAGCATGGTGGTAAAAAAACGTGAATCCTGAAGTTCAGCTGCCTGGGTTTATGTCCCGGGTCTAAGTGTGAGGTCTCAGGCAAGAAATTTCTGTGACCTTCACCAAATAACCTGACTCACATGATAGGGCTGCTATGAGGATTAAACCAGACAATCCATGAAACAGAACAGTGTCTAGAACATAGACTATGTTTAGTAAATGATGGTTACTATTACTCTCTGTAAGGACAGAACCTCAGAAAAATCACTTTAAGATCATCTTTCCCTTTTAAATTGTGGGAAGTAAAAATAATGATACCAACCAACACCACCAACTTTCATTTCTGCATATCATCATATGTTCCTAGGATACATAGAGGGAGATATAATTTTGGATTGTGCTGTTTAAATGTAAGCAGATTGCGTGTTCTTACACAGTTGTTCTAAATGGTTGTATAAGATTCCATTAAATTAATACACCAAACTTTACCTAACAGTTTTCTTATGGTTAAATATTTGGAATTTTTTGGTTTTGTTACTGTATGTACCATTGACTAATATCACTTTGTACAAACCAGGATTTTTTTCTCATTAAGACAAATTAACCAGGACAATCTCCCTTAAACCTTTGCCTAAGGGCCTTTGCTTCAGTTGACTCCTCGTCCATATCATTTTGACCTAAATTACCTTCCTTATAATTTACTCCCTCAAACTCCCCAAACTGTAGTTACAAAAGCCAAATCTCCATTACTGTTTCTTATTCTCCCTCTGCAAATTCCAGGCTCCCCATACTGTTCCTTGCTGTGTCATGTACCAGATATACTAATCCTCCCCCCCCACTTCCTAGAGCTCACAATCCACTTCCAGGAGGACCAAGTAGGGGGACGACAAGGTTAGGGCCATTTGGCATACCTTATGCTCCCCCTTCTTACACTGGGCATGTTCTCAGAGTCTAAAAGGGAAATAATGTAATTCTTCCTAAAGCATCCTTCCCGCTGTTCTGTGTCTGCCAAACTCCTACTCATCCTTCAACACTCGTTTCAAATGCACCAACCTCCAGGAATAGCTCACTGCTCCATCCTTACTGTCCCCAGGGCACTTGCTACATATCTTGGTGTTCTCAACAACAAACAGTGATTGTACATTGGAGATGCTCAAAAATGCTCAAAAAACAGTGACTGTGCATTATAGATGACTAAGTCAGTTATGGACAGACCTGTGTATGAGAAGTTAGAAACTGCTTAAATTGCCTATTGTGACAGAATTGGAGTGTAGTGGCTAATAGAAAAGACTTTGAAATCAGTTAGATCTTGATTTGAATAGTAATTCTGCAATATGCTAAGTAGGAAACGTTGGGAAATGTAAACCAAGCTGAGTCTCAGTCTCCTCATCTGCAAAATGGGATCATTTCTGTCAACCTTCCTGGAGAGGTAATATGCAGATTAAATGGATTCACAGATGCAAAGCACATAACAAACACATGGTTTCAGTGGCAGCTATTAAGACTAGCAAAAAAGATGCTGGAAAGTCAGGCTGGCCCAAAGTATTTTCCCCCACTGGATTTTGTCAGTGCACTCCAGGTTCTCACCTCTTTAAATATAAATGGGGGCAGTACCATGAGGTTATCAGGAGGACTGAGTAACCCATGTTTTCGGTGAGGTTCTGGTATTAGTATTGGTGGATACATTCTGCTCCGGTCTTTTACTATTTTTTGCTCATTCTTATCAGGGAAGCTCATTTGATGTAAAGAGCTGCTAAAGGCATACCTCATCCTGTCCTGTCCAACTCCAGCCCATTTCCAAGCCTTTTCCACAGCTGATTTGTTGTCTGAGATCCATCTCATCTTTGTCTTTTCTTTGAATTAAGGGTGGTTTCTAGCCAGTCTGACTCAAAGTGTGAATTCAATTTGTGATCTGGAAGGCCTGACATTATCAAGTCACAAGCAACCATGACTCATTGGTTATGACCAGTAACTAGAAATAATTTAAAAAAGATTATTGACCCCAAAGAAAGTTATCTGTTACTAATGGATGAGGAGAAAGCATAGTGAGAAAATGGAGATCTAAATTTAACACCCCAAAAATGTGGCCCCGAGCAGCAACAGGGTGGCAGACTGTAGGCATCTCTTAGGAGAGGAGGGGAGCGTACAAAATGGGGAGGAAGGAAATCCAAGGGAGGAGCGGTATCCCACTTCAGGTTTTGCCAGGGATCAGCTTTCCTGTGTCTAGTGACAGCCAACACTCACTTGCTAGGTTGGTGAATGGGCTGCAGACTCTAGGGAAGCCAAAGCCACCTGGGTTGGATCAAGCTTGCAGGCCTTGGTACCACTGGACCAGTGCCTGGTAGTGCCAGGCACGCTTATTATAGGCTGTCAGACCATCCAGGGGCAAGTAAAGATATGCTTACTGGCCCTAGGAAGGCTCTTTAGAAACTCAGAACTTTGCATTTGATTAAGGTGCACGAGATACAAGACAGAGTATTTAAATGTAAAAGTCTGCTAAGGAATAAAACCAAAGCAATGCCAGAGAATTTAATCTAAATGCAGACATGTAATAAAATCATAACTCTGTTTGCTTGGCCCAGATGCCTGAAGCATCTTAAAAGAAGGCACATTTCTGCACCTGAATAATGTTAATCTTGGGTTTAGAAAGACTTAGAGTGCGTATGGAGAATTTTGAGACTGCTAAAAAATCACTTCTGATTACAATTAGGTATTCTAGTAAATCAACCAAATATTTATTAGAAAATTGCAATGTAGAAGAAGTAACACTAAAAAACAATGATGATGACAACAACCAATCTTTATTATGGTACTTTATAGTTGACACCAAGCTTTTTACATGGTGAAGGATGCTCATTGATCTCCACATAATATGCATGTGTGCAATCTGGTATGAGGCATGGTTTTTGCCCCTAAAAAGCTTACAATCCAGCAACAAAAGAAAGACGTGAACACAATGTAATATAATACAAGCTGGATGATGATAAAAGCTATAATAAAGATAATAAATTATGATTTTCAAGGACTAGGCC